TCATATTTGACATCAGGAGGATTGGTACTGTGGACATCCAACGAGGCAGCTGAGGTCGATTATATTCATCGTTTGTGTTTTGATCGCATACTAGCATCTAACGCTTTTTTGATCGACATTGGGATCGCTTCTTTGATTAACTTCTAGTGTTCATTGAGTCCTCCGATGGTTGGTTGAGCTAAGAGGCGTTCAGAGAGTTCCGTTTCCACGGCCGATTTATAATTATCGCTGACAGTGTTGTGTGAATGCGTTTCCAGTGGCTTTTCAGCGGTTGTTCACCAGATGTCACGAGGATCTGGCTCGTAGCATAACACGGTCCGTGCCCAAGGATGTCAACCAGTAGGAGTGACAGCCTTCAATGAATCCTCGCCAGCGTTCGTTGATGGTGATGTGGTCGATTTGAGTCCAGCACTATGAAGAAGGCGGTGGTTTCTATATAAAGCGGTGTCGTTGTCCCTCCGGTTGAATGGGGTTGCATATAAACCGCTAAGAACAGTTTGTCTCGCCCAGGGATCCCACTTGAGCATTGTAGTCCCCAACGACTACTACGATGATCGTTGACCTGAGGAAGTCCGTTTATGAACTCATCCTTGATTTCAGGGGCACTGCAATCAGTCGGTACAAACACGGACACAACGAATAAGCATTGACGCTGTTGACCCAAACTGAACCGTTGAGGAGTACAGTGCAGAGTCGGCTGCTGACTGGAATCCAGTCAAGAATCGAGCGTTCAACCTGGCACTTAGCGCAATCCCAACACCAGCAACACCGCGAGCGTCAGATGCCGAATCTCTTGGCACAAAGAGAATGAAACGTGATGATGAGATTGGATCTGAAGAGCGCAAGGTGATAATTGTGTGTGCGTGTTTCAAAGATACAACATACGTCGAAATTAAAAGTATCTCAGGTTCTAGCTAAGGCCGCCTATTTCCCAATTTTATAGAGTGCACGGACATAGTGTGCAGCTAGGTGAAACGGAGATTTTGTTTTTATGAACGGTAAAGCATTTGATTACTTTACCTTAGTGGTTAAATACTGAGTGATATCCAACGAGTGGCGTCAAGAGGGCTTACCTCTTACGATTTGGGAATAAAAGGAACAACAAGACAGCTGAGAAAGAGGTGCTGAGGCTTACGGCACAGAATACTTCGCGGTAGCCCACACCTACGAAGTGGTTTTTCTTTGGGAACACTAACCGGAGCCTTTGACTCAAAAGTCTGACTGACAAGGCAACGGGCGTAGATCAAACGCGGGGGTTGGCCCGAAGCAGTATCGGAGTTTCTAGAGGTCTGTCACATCAAGGTCTTGTGGTTTTCGATTCAGCCTATGATACTCTGGTGCGTGAAATGTCGAACCGATGTTCGGGATTCATCCTTAGTCTAATGCACTCAACGAGACAAACCGAACATGGACGGAACAGCACGTTATTGACTGGACTGCCTAGCGTGATCGGCGGAAGCTGTCCAATGAAGCGCCAAGATTTCTCCCACCGTCGATAGCAAGCCCCAGGTACCTCGCTCTTACGTCTATCTAGCGTGATTTTTTTAGCGCCAAACTACTCCTCCCCAATCCTTGCCAGTCGCACTGAACTCACGTGTCACTGTTGTAGGCTAGGTACAATGATTATTTCGCCGCTGCACGATTCCTCAATTGGCTGTTACTCCTCCCCCAAAATTAGTCGCAGACAGGAATAACACTTGAACCGTGAGAAAATCTACACCCCAAGAACAGCGTAGGTGTTAGTCCTAAACTCAGTCTTGATGTTCACCTTCCTTAGTGAAAGAACCACCTCTGAACGGGTTGTATGTCAACAACCTCTGTGGTGAATTTGTCGTTCATCGGAAATGTGTACACAGACTGCGCAAACGAACTATGGAAGTGTGGAATTGACAAATCTTATTTTAGTTTGTAAGACACAGACCGCCAAAGTAAGTTAAACTAAATCGTTGACAGAATATGGGTTTGCATTCACTTACCGGCATTGCATAGATGAATAGGAAAATCAGCAGGCCCAGAAGTATGGCAATCAACAAACCAAGCAGAATCCATTTACATCGTTTCCACACAATGAATTTGAATGTCTTCCAAGGCGAAGTGAGCCAGAAAAATGAGGTTTCCGGACGACTGACAACGTGAGGATGCGATGAAATATGTGGATGTTTTATTATTCATTCGTTCTGAATAAAAACGGTGTATTTATCGCCCTATATCCAATGCAACAAAAATTTAATCTTTGAACTACAGAAAGCGAATTACAGTTCAACGCCGATTGAAATTCATCTTCTGTCCTCTTTCTGGTGCCGAGGTTGTATGATAGATAGGAGACAATGGCGATTCTGCAAACACTTATGGGAGAGCCCTCCTCCTCACTCTTCAAGGTCCGACAAAACTCTTTCTCCACATTTGCTACGATAATGTGCATAAAGTTTCACGTTTAAATCGATTGCGAAAGAGGAAAACACCACTTAAACTCGCGAAACCCAGCTCACTTAAGATACAGAAAATGTCACAAAATAATGCAGCGTTATCAGGATGATATAGAAACATGGAAATAACTGATTGTCAAGCGCCAACTTGTTTGAAATTAAAAGGATAGGAGCGGCAGTTTTCCAGCATGTTTAGCCAACGTCCAGCGTAGGGAGTAATCACAAGTCCAGGCGACAGAGGCCAGAATAAAGCATTTTAGTGCATTGACTCCGTGCAAATAATAATTATCACTCTGGCCAC